CGCTAATAACTTACCGTAATTAAGATTAATAAGTTTAGATATTCGTAGTTAATAATAAGCTCTTAAAAATAGCCTATTTAAAGTAAAAAATTTTTATACTACTTACTAACGGGTTAGTAATATAAGTAACGACTTTTTTTTATATATTAATAATATAACTAAAAGTATAAAAAACGTAGCTACGTTTATAGGAGTTAAAGTTACCCTATACTTTAGTATTATAGAACTTTATAAAAGTATTTTAAATAAACTAAGTAGCGCTATATAGCTCCTCGAGAACTTAAAAAATATCGTTAACTAAATACTTTAGTAACGAATTAGTAAAAACTTAACGACTTATAATAAAATACTTTTTCTTATTAACTTAATAAATAATATACTTAATAACGTAAGTATTAGTAATATAAACGAGCTTATTAATATTATAATATATACTAGCTAAGTAGTATATATAGGGAGTATTATTACGGAGATTATAAAAGCCTTTTTTAGGATTATACTCTATATTAAGTATATCTTAAATACGTAAAATAGTAAATATTTTAGTAAATACTTAATAATAATATAATAAGAGAATTATAATTAAAAAACGATACGGAATTAGAATATTATAAGAAAAAAAGGTATAGTTATATAAAAAAGAATTCGTAGAACGGTTACTGAATAAAAGGGAGAAAAAAAAAGTAAATACGTAATTAATAATAAGAAAAAATCTTTTACTTTACTTAATAGCCTAGTAATAATAATAACCGCGAGGTTAAGTAGGCCCTTATATATTATAATAATTAAAATACTTTATTATAAATATATATTACTAACTTAGTAACCGGTTAGTACGCTATTATTAAATAATAATAATAAAGTATCCGTTAGATAATAAGATAAGAGTAATTTTTTATTTTTAAATAAAAAAGGATATTATTAACGCCTTAAGAAATCTATTATAAATAACGACGTTAATAGCTTTATTATTAGCGTTAAAAAAAGATATTACGTAATAACTTTAGGGACTAAAGTTATATAAAGGGGGAATAATTATAATAAATTTAGGATATAATTAGTAATAAGACGTTAATAACTTAGTAACTAATATATAGATCGTATTATAAAAGAACTTTTTAAAAAATAGAGCTTATACGAAGGACTTTATAAGTTTTAGTTTTATAATATATTTATACTTATATTATAGCCCCGCTAGTTAAGTACTTATAGCCTAATCTCTTATACTATTACGGCCGACCTCTATTATTAACCTTTTTAATTAGCGCCGCTATATAAAGGGTAACTTACTTATTCCGAATTATATAGCGGTTTTCGTATTAAAATTATTATATTACGTTAAGCGCGTACTTAGGGTATATTACGTATATTATATAATTAAAAAGTATACCGTATTATATAATTTTTTTTAAAAGCGTAATCCCGTTAAGGTCGATCTTTTATACTTATAAAGCTAAAAAAAAACTACTATATAAGTATTTTACGCGAGTAAAAAGTATAACTTAGATAATTTCTATAGGATTATCCTAGATACTAAGGTATTATAATAGTTAATAAAAGAAAAAGGATAATTCTAAACGCTATAGAAAATCGTATTAGTAATACTTAATACGTTAATAGTAAATATTATAAAAATTAGCTTCGGCCTAAGTAAAGAAATCGTTACCCTAGGTATAGTAAAAGTAAAAACGTATTTTAGAACAATAACTTTCTATATTTTACTTATTAATACCCTATTTCTCTTATATCTAAAAGATATAGATTAACTAGGTATTATATTTAATAATATAAAAAATAAATCTTTAGTAATAAGTACTTTAAAATAGTTAAATAATAATAAGAGTACGCGTTTATAAAGCTTATTAATAATACGAAGTTAATTAATTATTTAATAAAAAATAAGCTTAAATAACTATATTAGAGATTTGGGTACCTATTAGTTACGAGGTTATATAACTTCTTAAAGTAATTAAGTAATAATAATATTAAAATAGGGGCGCTAGAGTAGTTAATAAAAGTATATTACTAATATTAAATAAATATATAGAGCCTACGTAGATTTAAATTTAAATTACGTAATAAGCTCAACTTTAATTAGAAAATCGTTATTAATATCTTCTATTTAAATAGTTAATTAGTCCTATATATAATTAATAAGGCTATATTATTTTAAATAGGGTAATTTTTCTAGGATTTATAAGTAAAAATAGTATAAATAGCCCTATAAAAAAGCTAGATCAATATATACTAAGGACTACTAAATAATATTAAAACCGATGCTAGTATAAGTTTTAAGTTAATAAAATTTAAAGAAAATATAATAACCTATAATATATAACTAAAAGTCGTGCTTATAAAAGCGTATTATAGTATTAAAAAAGTAAAAAGGGTATACTAATAAATAAAAAAGGCGTTTAGAATTATTAAAAAGGAAAATCCTAATTTTATTAATAATAAATACTTTTAAATAGTACTTAAGTACTACAATAATACTATAGGGCTTAATAAGCTTATACTAACGCTATTAGTATTTAAAATATACTTAAAAACAAATTTAGCTTCGCTACTATTACTAAACATAAACTAACGAGCCTAAGTAGTTAAAAAAGTAATATAAATACTATATAAAATAAGCGTAAAAAAATAAGTTAACGAGGTAATTATTATATATAATAGGCCCGATATAGAGGCTGATTTAAATATACCCCTAAATTTAAATATATAAATTTAATACGAAATTATTTAGTAATAAGCTAGGCTATATAAATTAATTTTTATTAATAAGCGCTCTTATATAATTATAAAAAATCATAACTAGCTATTTAAAATATTAATTACTATAATTAGACTATATTATATAGATCTAATTAAAGTAATTTCTAACTTATAAAAAAAAAAGAGCTAGGGGAAACTATATAACCCGTAATAAAGGTATAAGAAATTATCCTTAATAAAATCGTTATAATAATATTAATAAATAATAAGGAAAAAGAAAGTGCTAAAAGGGTACTAATATTATAAATAAAACGCTATAAAAGACTATAATAATAAGCCCTAACGTAGTAATTTATTACTAATAACAAAGTATTTAATACTTTTTATATAATAAAAAAAAAGCTAATTTTAAGCTAGTAATTAAACTACGTAAAGAAGGTATTATTATAATTATTAAAAAGCTATATAAGGGATTAAATCTTATTAAAATAGATACTTTATATAATCGAGGGGTCTATCGATTTATCCTTTATAACCCTAAAAAACATAAAAATCTCTATATATTTAAATTATAAATAATACGTAAAATTAAAAGAAAAAAAATACCCTAACTATATAAAAAATCTAAGTATATAATTTAGGGGTACGGTAATATTAAAAAGGTAACGCTACTTACTTAATTACTTATAGTATAGTACTATAGCTAACGATTAATAATAGTATTAATAGTATTATTATAAAAAAAAGGATATAAAATTTAGAACTATAATATTACTTAGGCTTATATTTAATTAGCTATAGGGCTTATAAGGAAAATCCTAGCCTACTTCTTAAAAAAAATAGTTAGTAAGTATTTAAAAAGTACGATTATTAAAGTATTTAAACTACTATATAAGCTCGTAAAATCGGGCACTTATTAATAAGCTATATATTACGATTTTTATATTAATTAATTATTAATAGTTATATTTACGTACGACCCGTACTTATTAATTTTTAAATTAAAAAGTAAATAATTTAGAATTATTAAAATATAGACCGATAATATATTAAGCCTATTTAATATTAATTTTATAAAAAAAGAGAATAAAGAGCTTTAAAAAACGGGCTTCGTAATAAAGCTAAAAGAGGTCCTTATAATAAATAACCTATTAGTATTTAATAATAGAATTCTTATAATTAAAAAGGAAACCGTTATTTTTTAATAAAAGGGGTAGGGTAAGAAAATTACCCTTATTAATTTAAATATAATTAATATTAAAAAGTAATATAAGGCTAAGCTTATATAAGGGGTATATATTATAAGTATTTATTAGCCCAAGGTAACTTTTAATTATACTAAAGTAGTATAGGCTATAGAGCTAAATAAATAAAATATTAAAATACTTAATAAGTAGCTTAAGTAATAATAAACGAATTTTAATCGAGGCCTCGTTTATTACCTAATTAACCTCGTTATTAATAAGCTCTACGTTTTTATTAATAAGTTATTTATAAATAATAAAGACTTTATTTCGTAATTAAAGTATATTATTATCCTAGTTAATAAGAGTATAAATAAGAACGAATTTATTATATATAGTAATATAGTTTACTACTTATTAACTAAAAATAAGTAAATAATAAGAAGTATATTAGTATTAGAAGTCTATAATATAATTAATAATATTAACTTCGTATATATAATTTTAATAATATTAAAAAGGATTATTAATTAACTTAACTTTATACTAATCTTAATAATTATTTATACTAATTCTTATTTACTATATAAATACTTTGTTAAATTAGAAAAAAAAAAAAAAAGAGGTTTATAATTAATATTATAACCCTTAGGTAATTATATAAAAAGCGCGAGATCCTTAAGATTTATTAAATTAATAATAATAATAACCTCGCCAACGCTTTTATAAAAATAATACTTAATAAAAAGTTAAAATAATTTATAATTAATAAAAAAGTTAATATATAAATAGAGGGATAGGTTATATAAAAAAAAAAAAAAAAAAACGACTTAATAAACGGGCCTAAGGTTAAATTATACTTCTAATTATAATAAATAAATTAATAAAAAAAAGAAAAAGTTAGTATTAAATTAAAAGTTTAATTTAATTATGGTATATAACTAACTATATAGGGGCTAATTAGGGGCCCTATTTATAATTATTATAGCTAGCCTAACCTACGGTTAGAACCTCCTTTTTATATTTATTTAAATATTTATATAATTTAATTAATCTCTTCGTTAACCCACGGTTCGAACTAACTACCCTGTAATAGGGATACTAACAGTGAGACTTGATGAACTGAGCAGTCTGCTTCATCAGGCTCTTTAGCGAACGCTCTGACTTGGCAGAAAGCACAAGAGGCAAGGCATATGCAGCTGAAGTGATCTGAGACTCTGGCTTCGACGTGATTCCCGTGCTCGAAGCCGAGGTCTTGTACTCCTCAATTATAGCGTGGGCGTTGGTGCCACCGAAACCTTTCCTTCGTTAGCATTGTCTGGGACGTCTAGAACAGATCTAACTGAAGAGCTTACCGAACGAGTTTACACTTGCTCTCCGCGGTTGACCAGGCTTGAGTTCTGGCCACGGCTGAGCCTCTTTAGTGATAGAGAGGTTCTTGTAGAAGGGCGCAACCTTGGGACTGAGGTTTTCGAACAGCAAGTTGGGAGGAATGACGCCGTTCTGTACAGCAAGTGAGGCCTTCAACAAGCCGGCAATACCAGCAGTGCCCTCGGTGTGTCCAATGACGGTCTTCAGACTTCCTACAAGCAAGCGCTCACCGTCTGAACTATCCTGGCTGCCAAAGAAAGCTTTCGAGATTGCTTCAGCTTCCTGAGGATCACCTGCTGGCGTTCCAGTTCCTGTGAGTCGGTGGTAAGCAAACGTTCAAATCCCACGCTCATGCTTGGTACCTACCATGAGCTTCGAAGAATTGGCAGCGATTTTCAGCTTGCGCAATATCTAGACCAGCCCGAGCATAAGTCTCGCGAATAAGGGTCTCTTGAGCAACATGGCTCGGCATCGTGATGCCGGTTGTGCGTCCGTCTTGGTTGATGCCCGTTTCACGGATGACACACTCAATGGAGTCGCCATCAAGCAGTGCCTGGCTAAGCGTCTTCAGGACCACAGTGGCAACACCTTCCTGTTGACAGACATTGTGTCCTTGGTCAGTGAAAGTCCGACGATTGAGCCAATCGCTCGCCGCACAGTTATGTCCTCATGGATCATGCACGACAGGCAATGGAGGACAGGACTTACACCTCGCGCGTACCCATCGGCTGCAGCATCCCACATTCGGGATCTGCCCGTGGGTGAAAGCATGTTCAGCTTGCTCTCCGTGATGTAATTCACTATGAGAATCGCAATGTGAGTCTTTCCGGGTCATTCGTCTTTCAGAAAAGGCCGTAAACGTACTTGGAGACAAGATCAAATTGGAGCCAGCTGCTATAGCTGTCTTGCTCGATCCGCTCCTCAGTTGTTGCACCGCAAGATGCACCGCAACTAGAGAGGAACTGCATGCAGTATCAATAGTCATCTATAACCATGATTAGCTTGAGAACATTGAGATAGTAGCCGTGGATTCAACTAAACGGCATTCTTACACTAGGACCATGCCAATCAAAGAAGTATGATAAACGATTTGACGCAATGCTTGTAGCGGCACCCGTTGCGAAGTACGTTGGGCTGTAGCTTATGTCGTTGACTTTGACGAGCTCAAAGTCGTGGGTCATCAAGCCGACGTAAACCGCGGTATCAGAACCGCGAAGGTCGTGTAGTCCATATCCAGCCGCGGCCACAGCATCGTAGGTGGTTTCCAGGAGCAAACGCTGCTGCGGATCTATGCTCTCTGCCTCGCCGGCTTGGATGTTGAAGAACGACGCATCAAAAGCCCTCGGCGTCTCATCGAGAAAGTATCCGTGACGGGCATTGGTCCTGCCATGGTGAGAGCCATCGGTATGGTAAAACGCGTCGATGTTGAATCTCTCCTTTGGAACTTCAGATTGCAAATCTTTCGGTTCTTTCAAGAGTTCCCATAGCTTTGCTGGGCTATCAACACCGCCCGGAAACCGGCATGCACTTCCAACAACAACAATGGGCTCGTTCGGCGACATGACGCTGATAATGATCGGGAAGAAGCCGAACTGAGAGACTTAGATGAATGTTTCGGAAATAATGAGTCAGCGAGTGGGTGGAACACGAGTTAAGTAGAAATCATTCAGCGGTTCAAATAACAAGAGACTTCTACCACGAGTTCTTAAGCCCCGAGACTCGGATTCCAGTTAACTACATCGACCGGTGAATCTGACGGAGCATCTCGTCTTCGACTTGAAGACCTCTATCTGGATGTAGGTGTCACAGTACGCCGAAACACTGTACATGAATGTTGCTCAGTCAAATGTGATGAGAGAGGACCCTGCTGTGGGTATGGTCTGCGTGCAAGGAACATTACACACACGGCGAATTTACCTAATTTGACCTAACGCGACCAGCTTTTCCCACCGAGATGGTTATAAAAACACCTTCTACTTCTGAGGAAAGACTGACAACTAACATATCCCCCATTCAAACTACCCACTTCTGACGACAGGGAAGCATGATGGCGAAATCCGCCAAGATCTTCTCAAACGAAGAGAACGGCGTGAACATGGCTGATACACCGAGACTCTCGACTACGGAGGACGAAAATGCCGGCCTGCTCCATTCTCGTGAACCTTGTGACGACGGACGGTCCACCAGGGCCACTAGTCGGTTGCCGCGCTCTCAGTTGATCATTCTTACCCTATCACTTTCGAATGCCATCTCCATTGCGGCGGTCTTAATTCTCGTCGTATTTCACGGCCCGGCATTCTATCTCTCCGAGGCTCCTGCAACGGTTATTTACCCGGCGCAACCAGAGTGGTTCCCACCCCAGAGTACGTTAACTCCATCTCCTATCTCCTCTGCCCGGGCAACCATGAAGGTGACCAGGAAGAAGTGTGGACATCCAGACAAAGTGGACAACGTGTTGTTTTGATAACTGATGTGACACTAACTTTGGTATCATAGTCCCTGTGAAAAAGGTCTTGCATGGGAACAAACTATACGGCCAGCCTCCTAACCCTGAAAGTATCGAGGCATGGAACAGATTGCTGCCAAGTAAACAACAACAATCCCCCCCCCCCCCCCCCCCCCCCCCCCCCCCTCCCCCCCCCAACAACCTCCCAAACACCATCAACCCAGGCCACCGCGGCGTACGTGAAAAAATGTCGGGGGGGGGTGGGTTGCGGCAAAGAAGGAGACGTCTACTCCTGCTCTGCCGGCGCGATCCCACTGACTTCCCCCACCTCCCCGGATTGACCACGAAAGGAAATTTCCAAGTAGTCTTAACGTCAGGCAGACTGCTGATATCTGATAATAGTTGGGCGGGGTTGGGTTACGGTCAAGAACGAGACTGCTCTACCTGACTTGCCGGGGCTGAATCAATCACTTCCGGAACACCGCGCGTATCCCTCGGTCTTTCATCAACTTCATTGTCTTGTACGTCACACCGAATAGCCTCATTCTCCCTTTCGCACACAACGCCGGAATTTCGCCTCCCAAGATAACTGAATCGCTGCTAACTCTGGCTTAATGTTACCCCTACAATAGTATAGCACTATGGACGCATACTATGAGCTTATCGACCGCCTGAACAAGAACGAGGGGGCAAAGAGAGAATTGCCTACAGATCCTGGTTGGAATTCTGAGCATCTCAATCATTGCTGGGATTATCTACGACAGACTATTATGTGTAATGCAGATGTGACGCTCGAGTGGCGCAAGTACAACGAACAGGTCGGGACGGGGTGGGGTTATCAACATCAATGCAAGGACTGGGATGCGATTATTGCCTGGGCAGAGAAGTACAGGTACTCGAACAACTGGGGTATTCTCAGAGGTGGAGGTGAAAGGATCCCACTCCAATGATAATCAGCGGAGCCATCCGAAAGTCTATTGAGATCCCCAAACTCTACTTGATAGGTTCAAGATTTCCTCGATGGACCCTGGATTTGGGGTCCTTGCAAAGTTAAAGGGTAGTATGCATCATGATAGGCGAGCTGTAACAAAGAATACCATACCAAGCTTCCCAGTAGTAAGCGGCAACAGGACCTTAATGACCCCGTGATGATTTGTCTTCATCATCAAGGATGGCCCCGGTTGAAAATTAGACGAACAAGGGAGGGATCAGATCGATGCATCTACGAAGTATCCGTAGTAACGTGAATGTGCCCGACGAAGAGGTAACCGCGTGTTGAATACTCACTTTAGGAAAGTCAAAACAAAGTTTGAATTTGGACCACAGAGACCACATTGGGATCCATAACTCCTTGAGCCGTTGTCCTATGGATACAGCCTACTAACTAGAGGGTACAGAAAGCGCTAATACATATTGCGATCCCCACAGGTCCCCGAGTCCACATATGTGTAGTACAGCCGGATATGCTTTTCCTAGATTTGCGAGATTGTCTATCCGTACGGCTGTATAAGTCTGTCCGAGTAGCGAATTTGAGTCCCACTAGTTACGTACTCCCTTGTAAAGACCCGAGTATTCTTGCGAGATACAGCGGGATTGCCGATTCAGGGATATTGTAGAAGTTATGTTAATCGAAGATTATAAGTTCGGGTAGAGTAGATAAGTGGGTGAATGTGTTAGTATATACGTAGGCAGGTTAGACCTTTCGGTCGTAACTAGGTTAATAGGTTAGTATAGGTCTATTATATATATATCTGAGGAGAAGATCGTGGGCAGGGCCCGCGATCCCTCTATAAATATAAGTAAGTAAAAGGGTCCGTTTATATAGGCCCAGACTACTTACTTACTACCCCTACTTAACTACTTAATAAGGCCCTTTTTTATTTTATAATTTAATATTAATAATTTTCTATTTTTATAATAAAAAAAGGTAAAATAGGGGCTAGGTCCCCCTATTAATAAAAATTAATAATAAAATTTATTATTAATCCCCTATTTAAAAGTACTTAAAGCTATATACTAAAATTTTAATATAGCTTTTATTATAATTATTTATATAAAATTTTTATTATCCCTTTTTTTTAATTACTTCTTAATCTTTTAATATATATAATTTATATTTTTAAACTTTTTAAAAATTATTAAATTTAATATAGTTAAAAAAGAGCTTTTTATTAGTCTAATTACGCCCCGAATACGTATATTTCTTTCTAAACTAAAGCCCGAGAGGTATATACGTTCGCTAAACGACTTACTATTTATAATATATTACTATTTTTAATTACGTATTACTTACCTTTTTATCTTAACTATAATAATTCTTTTATTAATAAATTACTTAAGGGACTTATTTAGTATACTTTTTATAAACCCGTTAATTAGGTTATTATTATTACTAATTTAATAAATCTTATAAAGCTCGCAGCGTTTATATAATTATTAAAGTACTATAATATCTATTATAAGGCGCTTTTCTTTTATAATACCTAGCTTAATAAGATATTTATATAATAAGTATAAATTTATATAAATTATAATAGGGATTTTTAAAACGTTAAGTTATTTAATAATAAGGTTTAGAGTAGTTAAGATAGTATAAATAATATTAATATTTATAACTATTTCGTAAACTTTTAATACTAATACGCTCTAAGTAATCCTTTTACTTTTTATAAAGCTATAGTAAATAATATTATTATTAATTATAAAGCTCTTATTAATCTATTTTTTATTTATAAAAATAATAATGTAACTTAGCTATAAGGTATAATTAGCGTTATTTATAAATAACTTATTTATAAAAATAAAGAGTTTAGCTATAGTTAGATTTAATAATACGAATATAAGCCCTCGGTCTAAGTAATCTATTTACTATTTAATATAATAGTTTAATATAGCGTAATTAATAAATAATAAATTTACTTAGTATTAAGTAATAAACGACGTATTAAAAACTATTTTTAATTAATAAATTAATACGATATAGGTACTTTAAGCTCGCTACTTAACGAATTATTATTTAGTATTTAATACCGAGGGGTTAACTTATTTAAGTTTCTTTTTTTAGTTCTTTTATCTAAGTACTATATTAATACTTTTTAATAAAATAATTCTATTATTAAAAATAAGTAGCTCGTTAATTAATAATTATTATTTTAGTTTAGTTAGTAACTTAGCGCGCTTAAGCTTAGTCTTTTTTTTTTTATTAAAAGTCTTATTTAATAATTTAATTATATTATTAGTCTATATTTTAATAATACTAAATAATCTACTTTTTTTTATTAAAATTAATAAGTATAAGTCGAACGTAAATATTATTATCTAGAGTATTTTTAAATAATACTTACTATATATTATTTATTAATAAGTACTAGATTTTACGAAACTATATAATAGCTATACGACGTATAGAATAGTACTCTTAGGGTATAAATAATAGATCTAAACTAGTAATTAAGTAAAAACCTTATAATAAAGAGGTTAGCTTAATTATATATATACTTAAGTAATATTTCGTAACTAAATAACGTAGCCTTCTTGGATTAGGGTCGGGGCTAAGGTAAGGATTAAATATTAATTAGTTTTTTAAATTATTAGTAATTACGTAAAGATCTCTTTTTTCTCCTTATTATTATACTTTTATATAACTAAATAAAACTTTTTAATAAGGTTAAGTCCTTAGTTCTTAATTTTATTAATAAATCGAGACTTAAATATCTTTATATTTTTATATTTAAAGCTAAGTTAGATAAATTTAATTATACCTTTTTTAACTAGTTTTAAAAGCTCTTTATTAATAGATTTTATAAAAAGTACTTTTAGTATAATAATAATACCTTTATTACGGAATTTAATAATTAGCTTAAGATTTACCTCCTCTTTAAATATAAAATAAATAGTAATTATAAAAGTATTATTATAGCTACGCTATATTAATATTCTTTTAGTTCTCTTTTTTTATAATAGAGGGTTATTATTAATTATTATAACGATCTTATTAAGGACCTCGTTAATAATAGTACTATTATTAGTTAATTAGTTAATTATAGGGATTAGTAAGTAGTTAACGTGCTCTATTACTATAGTTAATAACTCGGGGTTAACCTCCTCTAAGTATTAGGGTTTAATTATAATAGTTTAGAAGCTCGTTAAGCTATAAAATAAGTTTATTATATAAGTAATACTATTTATTAAGATAAGTTTAAATAGGCCCTTTTATTTCTTATTTTTTTATTAAACTTTAATATTTAACTAAAGTAGTAAATTAATAGTATAAGAGATATTTAGCCTATTCTAAGTAACTAGTACCTTATTTACTTACTTATTAATATAAAGTTTATAGACTTCTCTTATTATTTATTTAATTATTTTTATATATTAAGTAATATTTAATAATAATAAAGATTTATTAAAAATATATAAAAAAGTTCTAAAAATAAGGAGTATAAAAACGAGGTTATTTAGGCCGATTATATTATTAATTATTTTAATTACGGCTTAAAATATAGCTTCTATACTTATTAATAAGTACTTATTTTAAATAATATCGTATACTTTTTTAAATACTACGTAATATTTTTTAACTTTATTAATACTATTATAAGCTTTAACGGGCACTTTTTTAACTTTAATAAATATAGATTTAGTAAAAGATTTAAACTTTATAGTATTAAAGTTCTTATTAGTATTTATAATAATTTAGTTTAGCGGACCGAGGCAGACGTCGATTTAATATAGCTAAAGAGCTTCTTATATATACTTCGTAGTTATATTTATAAAGAACTTTACTACTTAAAAAGAAATAATAGTATTAATAACGTAAAGTACTAGTTAGTTAGTGCCCTTATAGTTTATTAAGTATATTATATTAATTACGATTTTATAGTTAAAATCGTAATTATTTCGTAGGGTAAATTTAAATTAGCTAGGGGTAGTACCGTTAAGTTAGTATTATTAATAAACTTTTATAAGCTTTTTAAGGGCTACGATCTCTACGTTATTATTAAACTACTAAAATAACTTTAAGAAATAAGGAACCGAAAAGTAGCCGAAGCGCTAATATAAGCGGCGTAATTCGCCCTCTATTAAGTAATTAGTAATAGCTTTCTTATTATTAAAAAGCAAAAGCTAAGGGTATCCCTATTTATAAATAATAAATACTATAACATCTCTTTTAATTAATAAGTTATTAATATTATTAAAGTATACCCCTAGTTTATTTATATCCCTTAAGTAGTATAAAAAAAGAGTATTAGTTAATAAAATATAAAAAGTAATATTACTAAATAGGGTACTAATAATTATAGATTTTAATAACTTTACGAGTTCGCTATTACCGAATCGAATACTTACTTCGCTAGTTCTAAAAGTATTAAAAGTAACTTTAAGTCGTTATTATTATAATATAAGGAGTTAAGGGTAGCCCGTAATTAAAAATTCCGTAGTATTAATATTAAGTATAATACTTTAAAAATCCCTTAACGAGTACTTCTTATTTAATAAAAAAGAGGTTATTAGTTCCGTAAGCTTAGTTAATTTATTAATAAAAGTAATATTAATAAAGCTATATTCTATTATTTAAATAGCGAGGATATTTATAAGGGTTTTATTACTAGTAATAGTCGTAAGGTATATTATTAAGATTTAAACTTCGTCCTTATAATTATTTTTATAGTCGAAGTTAAGGTTATTAAAATATTAGATTATAATATTATTATTTTCGTTATTATTAGTAGGGGTAGTTCCCTTATAAAAGGTAAGGAATTATAAGTATAAGCTCGGTATAGATTTTTTATTTTTTTCTTTACTATTTTTATATTTTTAATATACTTAACGTCGCTCTTTTTTTAAGTACTTAGTTAATTAATAGCCGGTTTTATAATAAATAAAGTATTTTTTATTAATAATACTGCGGCTACGTTAATTTTGTTTATTAAATCGGGTCTTTTTATTAAAGTTACCGTAAGTACGGTCGGTTTAATAAGTAGCGGGGACCTTTTTATTATAAGTATTATTTTATAAATACTACTACTACTTACTACGGTTACGTTCTCTTTTTATAATATTAATTAAAATACTAAGCTAGTAATAAATATTAGTAAACGTAGGTATTAAGTTAAGTATAATAAATCTATATTCTAATATATTACTTATATAATAGAGGAGTTAATTACTTATATTAAAAATAAATCCTTATATAGCTAGCGCTTTATAGAGAATTATAATACGGTTAATAAGTACTTATAGGATTTATTAGTTTAACTTATTTAGATTTTTATAAATTATAGAGTATTAATAAAGGTTATAGAGCTTAGTAAGGTAGTTTTAATAATTTATAAGCGGTTTAAAATATTCCTAGGTCTTTTAGTATATTATATTAAAGCTAAGTAGGTTAAAAATATTATTAAGTTTATTAAAATAAAAGGTTAATACCCTTTTCTTAAGTATATTTAAGAAAGTATTAGAATAGTACTATTTACTAATTCTTACTTATTAGTATAGTACTTTAAAAATCTAAAGCTTTTTACTAAAAATATCGTACTTCTCGCTACTATACTTATTCTTATTATTATAGAGCTTAGTAAGGTTAATTAATTAGTAAGTATTAAGTATAATATCGTTTTTAGTTTCTATATCGAAGTATAATATTTAATAGGATGGATTTTGTTATTAGGTAATAATAACTTTATTTTCTAGTTTTTTTTCTTTTTTTTTTTAAAAGGGTAGTAGGTTAATTAGTTAGTAGCGAGGCTAAGGTTATAGCCTTATTTATTTTAATTAAGCTAGTTAGGGTTGCGTAAACTCTTTTATTATTATTTTAACTCGTTAAATAAAATCGTTAATATTTATTAATTATAGGAGTAATAAATAGAGGAAATAAGGATCGTAATATAATATATTAAAATATTTAGTACGGCTTTAGTAAGTTATAATCTCTTTAGAGGTCTAAGTAGGGAAGTACTAAGTATTAAGAACACTAGTAATCTTATTTACTATTTAATTACGGTCCTTAATTATTAAATTAATACTATTATTTATAAAAAAGTTTCTTAGCTTTTTAAGAATCGTACTCTTTATTTTTAAAAAGTCCCTTATTTTTTAGCTATTAAAGTTAGTCTTAAAGTTTTTTTATAGCTCCTTACCTATTAAACCGTTTTAATAATAAGATTTTATTATAAAGAAGATAAAGGTATTAAGCTTTTTATTATTTATAAAAGTAAGTATAATATTAAATAAGCCTTATTAAGTTAGGTTAACGTAGTCTTATTAGCGAGTTAAAATTAGGTATAGTTTTATAATTTAAAAGTATAAATAAGTCTAAAATAATATTAGCTAATCGTTAGCCCCTTCCTATTTATTACTAGGGCTAGTAGTTACTATAGTATATTTACGAAGTAAGTTATATAGTAAAAAATAATTATAATATTTTAATTATAATATAACGTTAGTTAAGTTAAAATAAATAATAAGTCGGTTATAGCGATCGTTTTAATAATAGTGAGCAGGCTATTATTATTAATTAGAAAATTTTATTTTTTTAACGAGGTATATAAACAAAAGGTTATTAAAGTTAGCAAAAAGTTATAAAAAAAAAAAAAGCTTTTTATAACCATATTTTTAGTAATAAATAGAGGATTCTATTAGCTATTAATTAATAATTCTTTTTAATACTTTTTATATTTTATTTTTAGTAGTTTAGTTTTAGAGCTTTTATTAAGTTAGAAAGAGGTAGATTTATTAGTAATATAAAATAGATCCTTATTATTATTATTATTAAGATTTTTTTTTTCCTTAATATTTTAAAATACTTTACTATTTATAAGAGAATACTTCGCTATTAATATATTTATAATTCTAAAGGTCTTATTATTACTAAGTACTAATTTATTAGTAATTATTAAATTAATCTTTTAGTAATTAATCTTCTCTTACCTATTACTAATTTAAAGTAGCGTTTAGTTATAATATATTTAAAATAGATTCTTTTATAAATAGCTTAATTAAAGGGAAATTAGTAGTTATAATAAAGCTAATAAAATAATATTAATAATAGAAGCGAGGTTAATAATAATAATAAAATAGTTAATTTTTTTATAATAGTAGCCTTAGTAAAAAAGATCGTACGTAATAAAGCGCGCTCTTAATAACCTATAACTAGTTAACTAATTATTAACTAGTAGTAATAAAAAAGAGTTAAAGTAATATAAACTAAGCTACTTATCGTTAGTTAGATAAATAGAACTAAGTTAATAAGTTAAAATAATTAGTAAAATAAGTCGAAGCTATTTTTTTTATAATTATATCTTTACTAACTTATAGTAGAAATATATATATAATTTAATTATTAATTTATATTAGTATATACGTAAGTAAGTTAGACCTTTTGGTTATAACTAGGTTAATAAGTTAGTATAGGTCTATTGCGTATATATCTGAGGGGAAGATCGTGGGTAAGGCCCGCGATCCCTCTATAGGTATAAGTAGGTAGAAGGGTCCGTCTGTACGGGCCTAGACTGCTTACTTACTACCCCTACCTAACTACCTAATAGGGCCCTTTTCTGCCTCGTAATCTAATAGAATGAACTAAGACTGTTTGAAGAACGTCGATAGAGAGTGCTCTCTTGTAGGTAAGTGAGAAGACGTGGTTTAATAGGTATGAAGCAGCTACAGAGGATAAGGTAAACAAGGTATTCCGGGCTGATTTTCCAAGTCACCATCGACAAATTTCAGCATGGGCAGTCTTTCTCATCAAAATTTTGTCCCTCCGACGACTCAGAAGGCCATCGTTATAAATGGCAAGGACGAGGCCGTCATCTGGGACGAGGCACCATGTCCCAAGATCCCAGCGGATCAAGTCATGGTTCGCGTTGAGGCCGTTGGCCTCAATCCGAGTGATACCAAGATAAGGGGAGCCTTTGCGACAAAGTTCGGCATCCTAGGTACAGATTTTGCAGGCACCGTGGTCGCCGTAGGAGATGAGGTTAACAATATCTCGGTTAGCGATAGGGTCTTTAGTGCCCAGAACGAGATATACGGAACCACGCCTAAGCAGCGCTTATACCCATACAAACAAATCAAATATAAAGTTCATATTTAATTATTTAGCTAATTTCTCGCGCCATATTTAATTATTTAAATTATTTAACAAATACTTAATTGATTTGACTAATAACCTATTTAGAGGTATTAATAATATAGTAGATTCGGCGCCAGAGGCGCCGAATTTTTTTAGATAAGTCTACTTTAATTCCGGAGGTCCGGTGTTCGAATCCGGGTCCGGGCGGCCCCTTTTTTCCGTATTTTCTTAGTATATTATTAGTATATTCGGGCCTACCCTTAGATTCTAGATTTGATTAAATATACCAAATATATGGGCTAGAATATTTGATTATTTGACTTACTGAAATTCCTATATTTGACTGTTTGTTTGACTTATTTGTTTGATTGATTTGAATGGGTATAAGCGCTGCGCCTGAGCGCGGTGCATTCTGCGAGTATGCTGTGACCCGTGGTAAGATGTGGACAAAGGTTCCAGAGTCTTGGAGCACTGAAGCAGCTGCATCTCTACCTGTGGGAGTGAGCACCGCCGGAATCGCCATGAAGCTGCTTGGCTTGCCTCTGCCCGGTCAAGGAGCTGCGAAGCCTGCCTATGTATTGGTCTATGGGGCCAGTACAGCAACTGCGACAATTGCCATGCAAATGCTGAAACTGTAAGTCAAATCGTCCACCATATCTTTGAGGAAACATCTGACGTAGTCATCGTGAGCAGTTCCGGTCTCGATCCGATTGCTATTTGTTCCCCGAAGAATTTCGACCTAGCGAAAAGAAACCAGGCAGTAGAAGTTTTCGATCGCAATGATAAAGAGCTGGCGAAAAAGATTGTGAGTTGCTGAAATCCGAAGTTTGCATGTTGCGTAATCGTAAGGCAACCAATCACTGACTGATTGTTTTTCACGTTCAGAAAACATACACGAAAGGGAACCTGAAATATGCCTTGGACTGCATCACGACCGTCGAGTCTACCGCCTTTTGCTACGCTGCTATCGGACGAGGCGGCGGCAAGTACGTGTCTCTTGACCCTTGGCAACAGCATGCTGCGACTCGAAAAGTTGTCACCGCGGATTTTACAGTCGGCCCTCGAATCTTTGGGGAAGGATGCACCTGGCCTGAGCCCTACAAGAGCGATCCGTCGGAAGAACTGCGCGTCTTTGGGGTCTCTGTTTGGGAAACTGTAGAGAAGTTGATCAACGAAGGAAACTTGCAACATCATCCGCTTCGTGTTTTAGATGGTGGATTCGAGGCAATTCTGGCGGGGATGGAAATGGTCCGAAACAAGGTACTCTCTGGAGAGAAAGTAGTTGTACGCATGAATGCTTGATTTGATATTCAGACAACTAAGGAGACATGCTCAGTGGAAGGAGCCAAAATCCTGCCAACCTCTCTCAAGAAAAGTAGCAACCAACATGAGAACTCTCCAGCCGACTGCTCAAGGTCCGCGGGCCAAAGTCATCAAGTCGAGCAAGCATGATGCGACAAGGCCCGGGGAGAAAGTCATACAGTGCTCTCTTCCTCAAATCTACCTTGACCCACTGAAATCGGCCGAAGTACCTTGTTCAAAGCCTCCGTGGGCTTGTGCTTTCTTTCATCTGATGCGATAAACTCATCGAGGCACATAAATATCTCCCGAACATTGCTCTCCTCACCTGTCCTCGGAGCCACTCATACTTCCAGCACCAAAAAACCTTGCACACCAGACTCACTCACTTTGTTCTTTTCACAAATCTTATACATTTTGAGGCAAGATTTTCATCTCCGTCTTATCTCTCTACCCATACGCAGAGAAATACCTGTCCATCCACAGCCGCGATGGTCACATCACTGAAAAGATCGCCAACGCGGGCCATCCTCTGCATTCATGGTGGCGGTGCTTCACCCGACATATTCCGTTTCCAACTCGCGGGTTTCCGTGCAGCTCTCAAAGAGGATTTCGAGTTCGTGTTTGCCACCGCACCCCACGTTGCCGTCCCCGGCCCAGATGTTCTTCCCTTCTTTGCCGGAATGAAGTCGTTTTTCTCTTGGTTTCGCAAGGGCGCAACCGACACCGAAGGTGAAGTTGCCGTGTTCAACGAAGCCATCAAAATGGCAGTACAGGACTGGCAGCTGGAGAACGAGCACGTCAAAATTGTTGGTGTCTTGGGCTTCTCGCAGGGCGGGCTAGCAAGTACAGTCTTGCTGTGGGAGCAGGAGGTGGGATTGGTGCCGTGGCTCCCGCGATTGGAGTTTGGAGTGTTGGTCTGTTGCGCTTATAGTGATGTCGCGACAGATTATATCCGCAGCAAGTCAGAGGGCGGTGACATTGCCAAGATTTCGGTGCCTACATTGCATCTTCACGGCAGTCAGGACTGCAACTTAGGGCAGGCGAGAAACACTCTTGCAACGCATTACTCCTCGAAGGCCGCTCATGTTATCAACTTTGAAGGAGGACATCACATTCCTCAGAAAAGAGAGGATATTATCAAGATGACGAACCACATTCGACACCTTGGTAAAAAGGATATCATGCACTAGTTTGCTTTAATCAGATGAACCCGTTTCTACATGTATTTAGCGACACGTTTTACCTCATACCTCTCACTTGAGCAAAACTGCTGAATCAACGTCACTTCCAGCTAGTTACGTGGCCACTGAACTGCTTTTTCTGAATGTGACCTCACGTTTCTTTCCTCTGGGAAACCCAAATCTGAAGGTTATCTTTGAACCACAAAGTCCAACACTTCTGATCTTCCATCCATCGGTCACTTTCAGGACATAATTCCATGTCGAAATGGAACAAAAAGGTGGCGAACAAGAGACGCATTTCCTGCAATGCAAGACTGATCCAACAGGTCAGCGAATTTATATCGATGCGATGGCATTGGCCTTCGAAAAACGTTCGGAAAACTTACTTCTTGCCAATACAAGCGCGCGGACCGGTCCCAAATACCTGGAACACACTATGTTGGTCGTATGTGTGGTACTCATCGTACCCACGCTCACCTGGAATCCATCTTTCGGGGATGAACTCGTTGCCATCTTTCCAGTACCGAGGGATGCGGAAGGCGGTCCAGGTCGCGATCGACATTTTAGTCTAGAAGGTGGTTCAATTAGCCATGGAACGGGCCCTCATCAAAAGGGCCATGAGATGATACTGAAGAAGGTGATACTAACGTCTTCGGGGAGAAGATGACCGAGGATGGTGTTGCCCCCTTCACCAATGACACGCATACCACCCGTCGGGACAGGAGGGTGTACTACGATGAACCGTCAGTTGTGTTTCATGATAATGAGAGACTGGAAACTCTTCGCACATCTGAGGCATTCGGTGAGGCACGCCTGAAAATACGGCAAGTCTTTGAGAACATCGCCTTTCAGCTGGTTCGAGTCGCCAACAGATCTCACTTCTCTAACTAGTCGTGCAAGCTTTCTCGGAGACTTCAGCAAAAGATATGTGAGAGCGCTCAGCGCTGTCGCTGATGTCTCAGTGCCAACTATCATGCTAGAAGTAGGAAAAGGCAAACCGCGTGTGTCAGTTACTAACATGCGTAGCTTCAGATAGGTACCAGGAGCAACTCACAAGTTGTTGGCGTTGTTGTTCATTTCAGTACGAGTCAGCGCGTTCGGACCCTCGGCCTTGAGAACGAGCCCCCAGATGTCGTTCCTGGCATCAGCGCCCTTGGCCAACCTCTTCGTGACACGCTCATGCGAGCTCTGAACGTGCACAGCAGCAGCCTTCTTATCTTGTTCCGGCTGGAATAGATGCCACAAATATGAGATTACCGGGTAAGGCCTCAATCTTGCCTTGACGATCATCCGCTTGAAATTCACCTGGACAGCGTCGACCCAAGCATTTGATCCACCGTTCTCGAGGCAGCCAAGTGCTTCGCCGAATGCAAGATCTGCCATGATATCGAACGTGGCGAAATTGAAGAGCTGGACTGCATCCATGACAGCAGCTCCAGGAAAGGTTTTCTCGCTAGAGATCTTCCGACAAACTAGATCGACCATTTGCTGTGCGTAAAGCGCCAGCATAGGTTCTTGCTTCGTGATGGCGCGGTCGCTGAACGCATTGCTGAAGATTTTGCGTAGGCGCTGGTGCTCGGGACCGTGAGCTGACGAAATCGAGTAACTCCCGTTAGAGAAGAGATTCTTGCTGTTTTTCCTCTCTTTCGAGTTAACTTTACGAGTGGCCGTCGCATGCCCATATATGTCCTTCCAAGCCTGAGGTGTGATGTAACTCAGACGGCCAGGCTCGACGCGCACAATGTCAGGCCTCGCCGGTTAGACCCCGTCGGTTAAGGGATAGCTCAAGGGGCATAAAGAGGGGGACTAAGTAATAAAAAAGTAACTTAAGTATATATAAAGTATTAATAATATACTTTAAAAAAAGGGTAGATTTTCATAATTTATTTTTTAAACTTTAATAATAATTAGCTTTTATAAGCTTTTTTTTTATATTATATATTTATTAATAATTTAAAATTTTTATTTATAAAAGGGACTAGGTTAGGAACTTAAAATATTAATAAGAACGAGACGTAATAAAAGAGCGTAATTAATATTATAATAATAAAAAGAGGATAATTCGTTTTTATTAAACCTTTTAAAATTACTTTTTTTTAATAAATAATATAAAAACGGAGCATAATAAAATAAATTATATAATAATAATATAAAGGGACCGTATTATTAAGAATATTAATAAATTTTAAATAAAATAATAAACTTTTTATTTTTATTTATTAATATTTAAACTAAATAATAAATAATAAACTAATAAAATTATAAAAATAAGAACGATAATTAAAAAAAGAAATCTTTATAATAATATACGAAGAGTAATTATATAAAAAGTAAATAAATTTAGAATATTTATAAAGCTCCTTAAATAGCCCGGCCCTTATACTAAGAGCTATAGTTTTAGTTATAATAATTTTAAATATTAATTTTAATTTAAATAAAAACGTAAACCTCCGAACTAAAAATAGCTTAATAAACGAGGCCGTACTTAAAGTACTACTTAAGTAATAATAAAGTAATAAATTTATACTACTTAAGTTTTTATTTACTAATTTTTTTTAATTTAAACGAGTATTATAAATAGAACGTCTATATTTAAATTATTATTTTTCTTTAACTTATTATATATTAATAAATTAGTACGGGATTTATAGAGCTTTTTATTTAATTATTATTATTATTTTAATTTATAAGCTTAATAAATAAGAATAGATTATAATAAAGTAATATATATAGTTAACTACTTAAGTAGTAATATAAAGACCTTTTAAATATACTATATTTTTAATTATAAAAAGGTCCTTAAGTTTATAATAAACCGAGTTATATAAGAGGAACTAGAGACTTTTTTATAAAATAACCTATTTAATCTTACTAACTAAAGAATAATAGTAAGTATATAACTAAATAATACTTTATAAAATTAAAAAAAAAGAGTTAACGAGTTTATTAATTATATTAATAAGTTTAAAATAGAACTAGAATATATTTTAATAAAAAAGTAGAGGATCTTTATATTAATAAATAAGCTACGGCCCGAATTATACTTTATAATAATATTATAAATAGAGCTTTTATAAACTTATTTATAATTAATATTATTAATAAGACGTATTAAATAATTCTTATTATTAATAAGGAGCTTACGAACGTTCCCTAAGTAATATTTTAATTTAAACTTAAATAAACTAGTGGGGAGATACCGGGGTACTAATAAGCTAATTACGTAGGGGGTATATTATAACTTTTTTAATAAAAATATTACGTACTATAATTATAAAAAAACTAGTTATATTATAAGGGATTATTTATAACTACGGGAGTAGTATTAATAATACTATAATTATAATAAAACTAGTTATTTTATTAATAATTACCCTAGCGTTATATATTATAAATATAATTAAAAAGGGTATAAGGCTGCTAGTTATTAATTAAACCTCGCTCTAGCTAAGTAACGTAAATTAGTAACGAGTTTAAATACTATTTTAATAAAGAGGGTAACTAGTAATTAATAAGGGCGGCGCTTAGACGTTTTAACTTATATATACTTAAACTATATATAAGAGAAACTAGGCGCCCTTATTAATTTAAGAATAAAAAAGAACGTAGTTAGTATTAAGTTACTTAATAGTTTTAATATTAATTTATAAATTTACTTATTACTATAATTAATAAACGTCGAGGGTAAATAAATAGAAACGCTAAGGAGCTATTACTTATAGCTTTAAATTATTAATAATAATAACGTAATAAAAATATAGCTATATCGTTTTATAATAACTAATATTATAGTACTTATACTTATTTTCGGTTTTTTTTAACTAGAGGACGTTAACTTACTAATTAATTAAAAATAAAAGAAATAGTAATATTTAATTTATAAATAATATATTTACTTAAATACCCTAAAAAAGGGGCTATTAAATAACTTATTTTTAGTAATACTTACGTATATCGTAATTAACCTAACTATAAATAATAATATAGTACTAGCGAGCATAGCCGAGGATTAAAAACTATAATATTAGGATTTTAATAACTTATTTTTAAAAAAAAAAGTTATTTTATTACTAAATAGAGCACTATACGACTATTATATCGAATTAAATAACGCTATGCCTATTTTATAGGGACTTATTTACTTATTATTAAACTATAAGCTCGAGATTTTATAAGATTATTTAATAAAAGTAGAGGCTAGGGGCTAGATATACCTTTTTATAAGCCCGGCCGGAGTACTTATTTTTTTCGTATTTAAAAAAAGAAGAGAGTTATAATTTTATATTAATTATAGAGCGATTAATAAGATTATATAAAAAAATAGAACGCTACTATTATTAATTAGAAAAATACTAAATAAACTATTTAATACTTCTATTTTTATAAAACTAAACTTTAAGAACGCGTATTACTATATACGTATAGCTAAGGGTAATAAGTAAAAAATAGCTTTTTATATTAAATATAAATAGTTTAAGTACTTAGTTATACTTTTTAAACTAATTAACATACCTACGACTTTCTAAGCGTATATTAATAACGTTCTAAGTAGCTTAGTTAATACCGTTTATATCGTATATTTAAATAATATTTTAATATATAATAACGACTACGTAGTATATAAAAAGTACGTACGTAGCGTATTATAAAAACTACAATAATAAAACTTATATTTAAATAATAATAAATACGAGTTTTATATATTATATATAGGATTCTTAGGGTATATTATATTTAATAAAAGTATAAAAATAGAACCTACGCATATTAAAGTTATAATAAATTAGCTATTTTTAAAAAGTATTAAAATATATAAACGTTCTTTAAATTTATAGGGTTTTATTATAAATTTATTAATAACTATATTAAAATAACTATACTTTTAATAAACTTATTAAAAAAGGTAAAGCTAGGATAGTTAGAGCTACTAATACTTATTATAAAATTATTTAAGAAGCTATTAGTAGTATTTATTAATACACTAATATTATAATATTTTAACCTTACCC